TTATCTGGTGCTACTTAGTCTCTATTTATATATAACACTGGTTAGTCATATGTTGAAGTTTTATTCTGTGATAATTCTTATTAACTATTAAATTTTTATTTCATATTAAGCTGAAATTTGAAAAAATTGTATACCTATAAATTTCCAATGTCATCCATTGTCTAAGAAAGGACAGACAGGCAAACAATCTCGTGAATGGAGTTAATTAGATAAAATCGACACCATATATGGAAAACTTGGGAAAGGGGTCCCGATTAACTATATACGAACTTCCCGTTTGCACCGGAAGTTACATTATTTCAATTCATTATTATATAAACCGTATCATTTGATTTTTAAACATATTTTAAAATTGTGTGTTGATGGAAATGCAAATACAAACGAATTTTCTCAGATTAATTTTTTTCTTTAAAAGTTTTGTCAGTGCCAATACATAAAAATTTTAATTATTATAGCTAGCAGAATGGTAGAATGACCTAGTTAAGCGCAAGGACTATATACTAACTAGCGTCACCAGACAAAATATATTAGATATTTTTATGGAAATAAAATAATCTACATTTCTTCTAATCTTAATTAATAAATAATACACGAAGTCCATTCAGATAATTCAGAAAAGCATTCGAATTTCAAGTTTTTAATTCTAATAATAAGCATAACTTATATAATTTTGTGTTTATGTATTTAAAAAAATTATTTATGCTTAATATCAAAAAATAATTTCTCCTGATATTGCTGAGAGTCAATTTATTAACTACTATAAATTGTTTTTATTTCGTCCAAACGATGCACATTTTAACATCAGTTTGACATCATCTCTTCAGTTTTACAAATAACAAGTTTAAACATGATATCAAAGTGACGTAAATGTAGACTTTCTGGACTAAACGAAGCAAGCCTAACGTGGCCATGCATCCCGATTTAGGCTGGACACTCACTGCATTTGAGTTTCAGGTCACACTGTCCTCAAATGCTTGGCGGGGCAACGAATATATCATTTCAGATACACTACGTCCCTCAAAGACAGGAGGCTTTTGATGTTCTTGATTTGCTGAGTGAACGATGACGCTAGTACATTGTTCAGAGTGCATTAACAGTCGATTGAATAGTCTGTCGCAAAATCGCGCATATGTACGTTATAACTATAACTTCTATAATCAATCAATAATTCAATACAATAGCCCAATATAGTTTGAGTAATACGGCTGATATTTCTCTCTGGCGGCTTCCTCTGTCTCCCTGCGAGAAACTAACTTATTGTTGAAACCTCGAAGAGCTGCTTCTAGCGAAGTGTAACTTTGATGCTTCCGGTACTGGGAGTTCGTGCGAGAACACTCATGCAACGCTCAGATCTAATGAGAAAAATTCACTCATAGGTGAAATATTGTACAGTAAATGTGCTTCCATAGAGGAAACAATTACGAGCAAATCATCAGTTGCGCAGCAGTTAGATCAGGGGTGGCCAACAGTTTTTGCCCCCGGGCCGAATTGGAAAGAAAACTTTTTTTACGGGCCGAACCAGAGGCTACCCTAATAAGATTTTGAGGTAGTGCGAGATCTCATTGTGGGGTCACCCCGTAGAGACTAAATTGTACATAGAGATTACAGATACATTTTTCACATTATCATGTATAATCAACATTCTACGCTGTACTTAAGACATTTGTAATGAAGCGTTAACTCTAAACGCACAGTTAGTTGTTGACTTTTTTTTTAGGCGTTAGAATTTTTCACCGATCTATTCTGACTTGAGTAGCTAATATTGAAAGATTAATCGCGGGCCACATAAATCCATTACACGGGTCACATACGGCCCGCGGGCCGGATGTTGGCCATGTCTGAGTTAGATTGAGGTGATTCACGAGACAATTTAAATTTACAATTCTCACAACTCAGTTTTTGTAGTATCCTGGTATCTTATGTATCATGCTCTGGTGTCCGCTGCAGTTAATATAAACTCGCAAATAACAAGGTTACTGAGTCAATTGAAGTTTAAAAATTAAACATCTCAATAAAGATTTAAGCGGATGCTGTTCAAAAAAAAAAAAAAAAAAAAAAAA